AGCCGCTCTAAGCACAATGGCAACTTAAAATTTAAGCCCAACCCTTCTTTGTTTTTGCGTAGGTTAAGTAAGTTGGTTAGAGCAATGAATGCATGCCTTTTCATTAATCCTCTCTCCGTAGATTTGATCGATATAAAGTAGTTTAGATTATTGTTTGTATAAAAATTAAAAATAAAAGTATGTTGGTTGGATTTGAGTTTGAGTTTGTGTATTGACATGGTCGTAGTGATATATTATATCACGAGTGTGTGCTAATTTTAAAGTTTGATGGATTTATTTTGGTTGACATATATGTATAACTTGACAATTTGGATATGTTGTGCTGGAAACTTTTGCCGGCGGCGCTATGGATCACGAAGAGGCTAGGAGGCAAATTGCTGGCAGGAAAGTTCTTAGTTTCTTTGACTGGTGATTGCTGTTATGCGTCCTTGGAAACTTTCCTCAGCTTAGTAAGTTTCACGTGCTTATAATTCAGCTTTGATCATTCTCTCGATAAATTGAAGGGGCCTATGAGGGATAGATTTTGAAACTCAATATCTTAGCACAGAGATTTTTCGAATTTATGAACGATTTGATCAGTTTGCCTTATGATTAATGCGGATAGTGATGGAAATGTAGCTGGACAGAGCCTGGTGGGCAGTAAACGATCATTTGGTGTTTTAAGCTTACTTTAAGCTGATTAACTCATCATATTAACCGTAAAACTTGAAATCCGTAACAAACGATACATCTACATATAGTAAAGAATACATTTTTACTCCAAAAAATGAATAAGAACAGCACAATGCATACAAGTACACTCTGTTTCAAACCCATGTCAGGGTGAATGAAGAATGACACAAAACCAATATATCAACCCAAACTACAATTCTTTTTCCAGTCGTTTTCGATATTCATTACTGTATAAAAGTTTTAATACTTGTCATATGAAGCAGATGAGACAATCCATCTAGAGTCGTAGTATAAGCATATGCATACATTGCGAAACAAAATGCATGCATAAACAACACAATAATAAAGTTATTTTCATTACAGATGATATAGATGATAGCACCCAAGATTCATTGCTTGCACAAACAACTACCGCCTGAGGCTCTCCACTATGTAGTCCGCATATAGGTCCCTATCACATTAGAACAACGAGAGTTTGAGAGATTAAGTTCGTACTCCATTCATTTAAGTTTGTAGACAAGTAATATTAGACTATTTAGACTCTCTAGACAAACCCAAATGTAAACTGAATCCAGGCATCTAACCCCGACTCTTGGTCGAGGATGTGAACTGGTATTAAAATGCTTGACTTTGGCTGATGTGAAATGAAATTTAGGCTGACAAATGCAGTTCAAATCCATTTTCTTATGAACCAGAAATGATCAAAACTTGAAAAGTCGAGGGGCGATTCGGTACTTTTGAATTGTATAAATGCTATTCTGATTTCTAACATCTACATTCTCATAACACCACTGACAGTATAATTTTCAGACAAAGAGGTAAATTTCTGAGAGCATTAACACTTACATGGAATGCTGGATTGCATCATAGGCAGCAGATGCAGGGAGAAAGTCGTCAACTGCAACTTCTTTGTTCTCATTTTTCTTGTCTGATTTTTTTGGTTGGTTAAGGAAAAAAAATTAATAGCGCGTTGGAGAAAGAACCATTATATCCCATAAAATTACGATTTCTCGAAACTGAAATTTCAAAAAGGATACAGTCCTCAAAGAAGCGCCGGATCTCAGCCAAACGATGTGGTGGGAGATCCTTGATGTCCTGGTAGTGTCGGTATTCGGGATCATCAGCACAGACAGCAATTATCTTGTCATCTTTCTCACCCTGATTTCATAGAAAATTAGAACATTGCGACAAATTTAAAAGAACAACCATTTCTGTCTGAATATGTACCTGATCGATCATAGGCATCAAGCCAATTGCTTTTGCCCGAAGAAAGCATCCAGGAACAACTGGCTCCTGTAAGTTTTTTCAGATTCAAAATACATCAGCGTGAGTTTCCACATACAAGCATCAGCTTTAACATAAACCAAATGGATTTAGAAGCTGCTCAAAGTTTTTTACAAATATAACACATGATTTCACCAGCAACTGTGCATGGCTTTACAAATATGTCAGAATAATCTCACAACTTTTCATATGATTTTTACATCTGTATGATTGATTATATCGTAGGGAATGGTTCATGTCATATTCAGGTTAGAATGCTAAAATAAAATTCCAAAATGGCATTTCCAAAGGAAAGAAGCATAAAAATACCTGCATAATAATCAAGACATCCAAGGGGTCATTGTCCTCACAAAGAGTTCGGGGGATGAAGCCATAGTTGTGGGGGTAGACAACCGATGAGTACAGTATGCGGTCAACCTGCAAATACAAACACCTGTCAGCAAGCATACTTTATGTACTAAAAATATGAGGAAGATTAGCTTGGCGCAAAACTTGCCTTGATGAGTCCAGTTTTTTTGTCAAGCTCATATTTCACTTTGCTTCCTTTAGGAATTTCAATAACCTGTATACATTTCCACAAGAACAACGATCAATAGGATGCCAAACATATCACAATACATAGTTTCTGAATAAGTACTATAAAGGTCGTAACTCTTAGAATTAGAATATGAAAACTGACTAGTTAGAGAAAATACTGTCAACTATGATATTATAGAGAAAATTATCTTCTGAAGCAGATTATTTTAATAATGAGAATTATACTAAGAATGTCACTACATTCTGGAAAGTTGGTCAACTTAATCTAAGATGACTTCTTCTGTTCCGTATTAGCATTGTACAATCATTCCGTGTGTCTAATCAATATTCGTTCAAAATAAGCATGGAAAATGCATAATTTGAGCAAGTATAGCAAATGATAAAATCATTATAATAAAAAGTTAAGGCATCAAATAGTTATTAAGGTTCAGTATACTTACACAGTTGAAAATCTTTGGAGCTCCAGGTCCTATATTAAAATGAAAAGGAAAAAGAGTTACACATAGGGTAAAATAACAATTAAAGAAAGCTGACATGACCAAGATGGCTGCCAAAGTTACTGCTCACCTATTTCAAGATCATGCCAAGGGTGTGCAGCTATAGACCTCCTGGTCATGGAAGAAAGTATCCTCTCATTAAGAGGTGGATGTGAGGAATGATGATGATGATGATGGGAGTCGATAACTTTTTGAGGAGGCTCAACTTTTTGAACAGTCTCAATTGGTGGAGCCATAACTACAAGATATAAGACCACAAGAAGTCATCAAAAGCAGTACTACGGAAACACTCTATGAGCTATTTAATTAATCAAGCAAAAGATTTCGATAGATTTTTTCAACAATGTTTCATGAAGCATGTCTAACAGGCCTTAAACACAATTCCCAAAAGTTCAAATCTAGAATAAGTGGGCCAACAAAAGAAGGCATATGTACAAGCCATAAAAGTCTATCTCAGACAACTGGAGTAGTAATCAATATCATAAAAGAATGTCATGCATTTATCCTTTGATTAAAAAGAGTCAAACACAAAATGTTGAGGACCTTCAAATAAGATGAGACTTATGAAGAAACATTTTAGATATATTTAAACAAATTGAACCTTTTTCCTTTCCCTTTTTCTTTAACCTTGTACAAAATACACACACGGACATACAGAAACAGTTCCATTTTTCCAGAATTCATAATGAAGTTGAACATTGATATCTCAAATGCACCCTCGTATACAAGATCAAATAAAACTAAAGCCATTTTTGAAGGACTTAAGCTATCAGATCCGATCATCCAAATGACAAAAGGACAGCAAGGAGAAGAATTAGTTTCTCACACCAAATCAAAAAATCCCAACAAAATTTTGTAAAAGCTCTTTCTTCAGTTCCAGATGTTAAAATCGTATATAAAAAATGTTCTCGCAAAAGACGGCTTTGATATCAAGATCACATAAAACTAAAGCCATATTTGCAGAACTTAAGCTATCAGATGCGAATGACAAAAGGCATTAAGGAGACGAATTAGCTTCTTGCACCAGATCGACAAATATCAGCAGCTCCAAATTTTGTAAAAATATCTTTTTTCACCAGAGGCTAAAAATCAAGAAATTAATTTAATAATATCCTCGCAAGTTGACAGTCAAAATGTTTCTGGTAACGTGTCAGCAAAGCGTTTATTTAAAAGTAAACGCTGAGCAAATGAAAATGTATGGAAACTTCTGCAATCTAAATATCCGGCGAAACCGTGTATAGATCTGCCAAACTATGACTTTAACTTTACTAAAATTACGAAAATAGGAAGTAATTCACAACACAGAGAACATGAGCAATCTCAGAACCATAACAAAGAACAAGGCTAGCTCTCAACATCTAGAAAAATTGATCTCAGAAACTAGCATAAATTCCGCACAATCATTTCCAATTGTGATAAAGATAGAGCAATTAAAACGCAAACATGGAGCGCACGCAGCAAAAACAAACGCTTACGAGCAAAAGCGAAGAGAAAAAGATCAGATCCACAAACAGAACAAAAACGACGCTAAAATCAGCTAGAAATGTACAGTAAAGTCAGAAAAACGACGCCAAAATCAGCTAAAAATGCAGCATAAAGTTTACAAAACGACAGTGTCTCGGACTCGTAAAAGCAAGCACATACCGGTAAAGGATCGGAGTTACGAAACCCTAGCTGAAGAAGAAGCCTTGAGAGGAAGGAAGGAGACGACCGAAGAGCACAGATCTCAAAACGAAGAGAAGGCAGGCAGAGAGGAGGAGTGAATGGGGCGCTCAAGTAGAGGAAAGCAATAAGCAGCTGTACGTGTTCCCGCTCTCTTTGTGCCTTCCATTTAAAGGAAAAAAAAAAAAGGGGAAAAGGAAAAAAAACAAAATTAAAGTGAGAAATTCCCAAGTTTTGGTGCTACGAAAATGCTTTTGGCATCCGTATATTCTGGCCAACTGAATAGAACGTGCCTCCAGCTGGCACTGATCCGCTACGTGTCTCAGCCTTATTGGGTTGGTGCAAGGCCCCACCCTCGGACAAAGACGGTGTTCCTAACGGTCGTGAGGGGCATTCTTTTTGGGTCCGCTGCTCATACGTGAAGCGGACGGTGAGGCGTGTCTTGAAAACAAATCGCACTTGGATAAGGATAGATTGAATGAACATGCATGTATAAATTTTTTTGATTATTTGAAATACAAATTTCTTGTGAAAAATGTTTGTTGTGATATAAGCAATAGTAAGGAGGGAGAATTTGAACACACGAGTCCGAATACAAGGATAAACACTCTTAATCATCTAAGCTAATGTTACTTTATCCATAAAATGTTTATCAAGTAGGGATTGGGAGGACTAACTGATGGAGCACAAAAATTGTGTGTGGATGCTTTGCGCACCTAGTCGGATTCCGCCATGTCATCATGTGGGCCATGGTAGGGGGAATTTGATTAGTGAGGTTTGATGTGGTGGAATAAATGTATTGGAAGCAAACCACAGCCAATGAGAGGGGATAGTTTCCTTTATCTTGGGCATGTGGGGTGTGAGTAAGAGGTGTGTGTGAATGCCCATCCATTACTCTAAGGCGACATTTTTCTTGGTTTGACTTTGATCTCTGCGCAGAAACCTACCAGTCTCCCTTCTAAATTGGTTAAAAAAAAAATTGAAACCTTATCCTTGGAACAGTCAGATTGTACTAAAAATTTGGTCCATGCAAGGACGCGGCGTTTGAATGTGGTCATTTGTATTGACCTGGTGAACACTTAAAAAAAAAAATACAAATTTATAAATAAACTCAATTATAGACATGTATTTATAAAAAAATCCAAACACTATATAAACATAGAAACACACCCAAAATCAACCACAAAGTCAACTTTTTGGGTGTGTTTATAAAGTGTTTTGGGTGTTGGGTTTGTTTATAATTTCAACCTCCATTTTGGGTGTTTTAGTGAAATTCCCAAAAAAAAAGTATGATTATAGGAAGAGTAATAATGACAAGTCAATCTTAGTGACTTTTTCATGGCCTGCCACTGCGCACCTTGCTGAAATTTGGATACATCCAGAAGAGATATATATATATATATATATATTTTTTAATAATACCTTATAATGATGTTTTTATTAATCACGAATTGAATTTTACATAGGGAAGATTTCTGCATTTACTTCACATTAAGGAATTGAAACGAAATTAGGAATTAAATTCTTGATTTTGAAGGAATCCAATTCTTGAATGGGATGGGGTATTCTAATTCCTGGAGAACTAACCCATTAGGAATTCATCTTTTTTTACCCATTATATCCTCACATTGTCCAAATTCGTCATCTACTTTAACCTAACAATGAGGATATTTTAGTAATTAGCACCACCCCTATCCCAATTCCATATGATTTAGTAAACAACTTCAATAGGAATCTGAAATCTAACTCTCATCAATTCATATGATTTAGTAAACAATTTCCATAAGAATCTGGAATCTAATTCTCCTCAATCCAACTCCTTCTCAATTCAATTCATCCCAAATTCAATTCCTCAAAATCCAATTATGGATTAGTAAACTTGCCATGAATTTTGAGATTTGGAATCCTTTTGTCTAAATAAAATTTTTACAATTAAATTTCTAAATATTATTTTTTTAGATGAACTTCAAAGTTTTCAACTTGCACGCAATAGGTTGTACATATAAATGTTACATATCCAAACTTTTATTAGAGTTAAATGGTTAGATTTCCAAACATGTATAGTTTTGTGGGGTAAATGGTACATGTTAAATCATGTAAATCTAGTTTGGTTTACCTTACTATATATTGTTTGTCAAGAGAACATCTCTTTTGATGTAATAATAGATATGATACATATAGGATTAAAAACTTACCTGAAAATGGTGTTAATAAACTTGGGCCATGTTGAGGCATCTCATGTCTATGAAATTGGAAAATTGTCTAAGATTCATTGAAGAGTTGAGCATGCCCTACTTTTCTTATGGGATTATGCGATTCCTAATGACTAAAGAGGTTGATGTGATCTACATCTCATATTCCATCGGTCCTACGTAGCAATCCATATACAACAAGGAATTTTTGCAATTGCCTCGGGAATCTTACTTGCAAAATTCCACTTTGATTTTTCTTCATCTTATAAGAATCTAGACTTAGAAATTCGAACGCCATGAATATGTAGCATCATAATATTTTCCCCTTTACAACTCCCTTCTTCTATGCCTTTTAAAGATGCTCATCAAATTTGATTTTCTTTTTCATCTTGTTTGGTAATGGGCAATTTGGAATTTCCATTTTGGATAAATAGAGAATTGAAATTTACTCAGATTCTCTCATATGGTGAATGATGTGTTACGATTAGTCCTTATGATAAATTTTTCACCATTAATGCATGTGAGACTTGCATGTCATCAACTACTAACAGGGTCATGCACCTCCCTCGTCGAAAGGATATGCTAGAATTTGTCCTTATGATGGTGCTCACCATATGTTCGACTAAATGCTTCAAAGAGACTTCACCCATCATGAATCTAAGGAAGTTAGTATTATTAAATTTTAATGGTATTTAGTTGTCTAATTTTTGTTGAACTTTTAATCTTTTAAATATTGCCCATTTTCTGAAAAATTCACAGCTACATCATCAACAGTAAAAAATGATTGCCCACGTATACGTTTATATTAGCAAAATGTTCCCATAAATTAAATTCTAGAATCGACATGTAACATCAATCATACCATGCAAAAAGCAACTGACATCAACATAAAGAAGGCTCATTTGTCACAGAACGAAGCATCTAAAACACATTTTGTAATTCTAGTGCAAATCACACTCAACTAGCTCAAGCGTGAGACAAGTCAATTGTGTGCAAGAACAAGTACGATTGGAGGGCGCCGACACACACAAATGGACTGGTAGGAAACCCGACCATCCATCACAATTTTTTTTTTTTTTTTGGTCTGAAGACCATCCATCACAATAGGCACGTAAGAACAAGCGTCCAAGCGGAACTGCCTTGTGATTTTAGATCGCTGGTTTTAGATATTTAGCTGAGAAAAAGAAATGGCACGTGGCACCGCCATTTTTATATTGTACGTACCAAACAATAATTCAAAAATGAATGACATCTTTGATCTTGAGTGCATAGTTGGCCAACTATTTTGTATATGCGATGAAGGATTCTGAGAAGTCTTTGAATACAAGTGTAAGCCTACCTGAGTTTGATTTTTCGCCTTTTTTTTTTCATAAAAAAAAAAAAATTTGGTTGGTGGCATATTATAATATTTGAGCTTGATTTGAAATATTTCATGAATGTGCAAAGCATGTTATAGTTTAGGTTGGTAAGGAGGCTTTGCAATGAATGTCTCACGGATTGAAGATATCATCTTGGTAGCCTTGTATGAAGTATATTAGAAGTATACATATGTTAGGTCAGTTGGATAGGGCAAGGAGAATCACATTGTGACTTCAGATGGTAAGGAAAAGTAATCAAGGGGATAGAGAGCCAAAATATATTCGTAAGTTGTTGATTTCATTTTAATTTGGTTAGGCTTTTTTATTTTCCTTATACTTTCGATTCAAATATTTCCCCCAATTTGTTAAACCATAATAGCACAATATACATTTAGAGGAACAAGAATGAAGGTGTTTCTTTAAAAATTTCAAAAAGACATTTAATGGAAGATAATAGAATATCTACAAATTGTAAATTATAGGAAACAAAGTGATCAATTTACCTAAATTTTTTTCTCAATGACCAAATTAAATTTTCGTGTAAAACTCAATGACCGAAAAAGTCTTTCCTAACCCTTTATATTTTAAGTTTGTTTTGTGAAGGGTATTCTAGTTCATAGTCAAGAGACCCATCCCAATTTTGATAGTAAGCCTTTTTGTTAAGCCCAATAGCTATGAACGAAGATGTTGAACCCATTATGCTGCTTCCACTCCCATCGCTTCAAACCTAAGGCCCTCCTCAAATTTGGACCAGGGAGCTTGTTTGAAATGCCTCTGAATAAGATTGGGCAATGATCAAAACCTAGTTTTTGGTGGGCGATCAATGTTCAGGGTTGGCAATTTCTCTCATCATTTTGAGATCCACGATACATTGCTAGTTTCTTCAACGTTAGATTTGAATTTGAGATATCTTTTAGTATTAAAAATATTATTCAAATAAGAGAAACGATCATATCTCAACTCTTCGCCAATCTCTTCTCTCATCCGTACATCCTTGATACCACCCGCCATTCAACTCATTGAGTGACCTTGCATCTAGCTATATTTAGCCAATAAGTAAAGCGACCCATTAATTAACCTCAACCCAAAACTAGTTGTATACAAAATTTTGGCTTCAAATGCGTATGCCATTATGTATTATCATTTAAGAAGTGCAAAATAAGTTTGAAGATGAAATGTTTTTATATGTTTTTTTTATTTATATATATTCATCATGTGAATAACACGTGATCATATCCATCATGCAAACGAATAACACGTAATAATATCATAATGTGAATAAACGTGATAACATACATGTATCTACCATTGTACCAATCTATGACCATGTAATAATTGTATCGAATGTGAAAAAAAATCAAAACATCACCATTCCCCTTTGTCTCATTTCATTTATTTAATTTTGAGTGAACAGACAGACTATCAAGTTTATCAACATCCCCATGTTCACCAATTTTTTTTTTTTTAAAAAAACTTTCAAATCAAAACATCTCCGCCGCCCTTCTCGAGAGTAAAACCTACGATCTAACGGCCAGGAACTCTCATCCCACAACATATCATTTCTCTCTCTTCAAAAAACCGAAACAAATAAAAAAACAAAAAAATCAACGGCCGACTGGTG